CAAGGGACATAAAGCATAATGGTGAGATTGATGAACTGAAAAATACGATGTCTGAGCTAAGTAAACCTGTGGAAGGGACAGTTGATTCTGCATCTGGAAACTTATCTTTTACGGAAAAGTCCACAGGTGAGAGGAATGAGCAGATTCAGGCTGGTAAAACTGATATGAGAACAGAGCCTCATGATGGTTTTCAATCTCAGCTTCCTGATGAAATGGCTCAAGATATTCATTTTTTGACCGAAAAATCTGAAAAGAAAGCAGAGAAAGATCATAAAGATAAGCAAATCACCATCGTGGCTCCAGAGCATGAAGTGCAACATGCTCCAGGATCTTCTCTGTCTTCCAAAAGCGAAGAGTTTAGGAAGAAAGTAGACATAGATCAGGAGCCTAAGCCAAACACCTATGTGACTAGAGAAGGTGAAATTCTACCAGCTCCAGCATCATCAACACCTGTTAAATGTACAAATCCTGCTACCCCTTCTCATCCTGCTGGCCTTGGGCGTGCTGCTCCGCTATTGGAACCTGCACCCAGGGTGGTGCAGCAGCCTCGTGAAAATGGAAGTGTCTCTCAGGCACATTCACAACAAATTGAAGATCCTGGTAATGTTGAGGCCGAGGAGAGTGATGAGACACGTGAACAGCTACAGTTTATTAGGGTTAAGTTTTTGCGGCTTGCAAATCGGCTTGGGCAGACTCCCCATAATGTTGTTGTGGCACAGGTTCTATACAGACTTGGATTAGCTGAGCAGCTCCGGGGGAGAAATGGGGGCCGTGTCGGTGCCTTTAGCTTTGACCGTGCAAGTGCTACCCTGTACAATTCTGGTGCTTGGAATGACAGGAGTTGGTAAAAGTGCTACCATCAATTCAATATTTGATGAAGTCAAGTTTGGTATCGATGCTTTCCAGACAGGTACAAAGAAGGTTCAGGATGTTGTGGGTACGGTACATGGTATTAAGGTCCGTGTAATTGATACACCAGGCCTTCTTCCTTCCTGGTCTGACCAATGCCAGAATGAGAAGATCCTTCGCTCTGTTAAAAGTTTCATCAAGAAAACACCTCCAGATATTGTGTTGTACCTTGATAGGTTGGACATGCAAACCAGGGATTTTGGTGATATACCCCTCTTGCGTACCATCACTGAGATCTTTGGTCCATCTATATGGTTTAATGCAATTGTGGTTTTGACTCATGCAGCTTCTGCTCCACCTGATGGTCCAAATGGTACTGCTTCTAGTTATGACATGTTTGTCACTCAACGTTCTCATGTTGTCCAGCAGGATATTCGTCAGGCAGCTGGGGATATGCGGCTCATGAATCCTGTTTCGTTAGTGGAGAATCACGCTGCATGTAGAACAAATAGGGCAGGTCAGAGAGTATTGACTAATGGTCAGGTCTGGAAGCCTCATTTGTTGTTGCTGTCCTTTGCATCCAAAATTCTGGCTGAAGCAAATACACTTTTGAAGTTGCAAGATACTCCTCCAGGAAAGCCTTTTGCTACTCGAACAAGAGCACCTCCTTTACCTTTCCTTTTTTCATCACTTCTTCAATCAAGACCACAAGTTAAGCTGCCTGAAGAGCAGTATGGTGATGAGGATGGATTAGATGATGATTTGGATGAATCCTCAGACTCTGAGGAAGAACCGGAATATGATGAGTTGCCACCTTTCAAGCGGTTGACTAAAGCACAAATAGCAAAGCTTAGTAAAGCTCAGAAGAAGGCAGGAATCTCGGTTACTCTCTTGGGTGATGCATTGTCGGCTGGTGTGAAAGTTGAAGACAAATTGATTGCTAATAAGCAGTTCCAGGTAGTCATGACTGGAGGTGCCATGACTGGTCGTGGTGATCTTGCTTATGGGGGCAGCTTGGAAGCCCAATTGAGGGATAAAGATTACCCCCTGGGTCGCTCCTTGTCTACTCTTGGTCTATCTATAATGGATTGGCATGGAGATCTTGCCATCGGATGCAATATACAGTCACAAGTGCCCATTGGACGGTCTACAAACCTAATAGCTCGTGGCAATCTGAATAACAAAGGTGCAGGACAAGTCGGTTTGCGACTAAATAGTTCGGAACAGCTACAGCTTGCTTTGATTGCTCTCTTTCCATTACTGAAAAAGCTATTTGATTTTCCCCATCAAATGCAATATGGGCAATAATGAGAATTAGGATGCAGTGGATAAGACATTTTTAAAATGGCCATCTCTATGTGGGTCTTTGAAGAGTGTGAGTGAAGCTCTGAAAGTAGGGTGCTGAAAATTTTCCATCATTTTTCTTTTAATCTTTGCTCTGATTATATAGTGATTGTAGTTTCTTTGTTTAGATATTTTGCATAATAAGGTTATTTTTTGTTCCCATGAAACCATGTCCAATCAACAAGTGCTTCTTTTCTCACTTGCCTACATCATTAATATATATGGCTCAACTACCAACATAAATGATTTATGTGCGAACGTAGCACAGGATTGTAATATGGCTCAAGATTGTATATTCTTCTGTTCTGCTCATTAAAATGACGGTCAACTGTGAAACTCTAGCTTGATAAAACAACACAAATCTTATTAGCGGAGAGCTTGAATATGTAATATTAAGCCTGAGACTACTTTGCCGCCGAGCCTCCGACACAGTAGGGGCATTTGGTACACATAATGCAAGATTATCCATTCGAAATGTTATATTATCTTGTTTGGTTTGATTCAGCAGAAATGTAAGTTTATAGTGTCTGATTGGAGGAATATAAGATTATTTAGATGTATATCATATATAGTTTTTTGTATTCAAATATTTATAATTTAATATTAAAGTTTTACTTTTTGTAGAAAAAATACATTTAACATATAATTAATATAATTAGTATATCGAATTTATATTTTAAAATAAGTTTATAAGTATCATATTTATTTATATAAAATATAATATAATATGAAAAAATAATGTTGTGGGAGTGGATAAAGATATTGTTTTTTAATGTATAAGGTTCATTTTTTAATAACTCAAAGTTAAATATTATTTTAAATAATTATTTTTTTACAATAATATCATTTTCATCTCATCAAATTAGAAAATGATTAATATATTTAATATTAAAAATATAAAATAATTTTAACTACTCAAATTTATAAATATTTTACTAAATCAAACTCTTTGTATATTATTATTATGTTTATAATTTTGAGTAAAACATCAATAATAAAAATTGAGAATTATTCATGTGAAAACAATTTATTATTTTAGGGTTATTCTTATCCAAAATAATGAAAATGGTATAATATCTAAGAATTTGAATGTAATAACATTTAACCAAAAGAATACTATTATCGATAATAAATTATTACCCGATAAAGATCATTCCTCTTAGTAATAATGATATTTTCCACGAACTCAACGTCCCTTTAATGTATTATATGAGTACGACCTTCGTAAATTCATATCATACAAGGGGTTTCCTTACAATTTACTTTTTAACACGGTCGTGTAAAAAATTTGAAACGAACGACTTTCGAGATACTTTTATAAGATTATATTTTTTAATATTTCAGCTTTGGGATATATTTTTAAAAGAACAGAGTTAAAATCAAATATAGACGAGTTACACTTTACAAAAATATAAACTATTATTTTTATTATTATACTAAAATTAAAGAAATTAAATATGTAATTTTTAATATATATTGAATTGCACGTTATGTTCGTATTAAATTATATTTTCAATAAAATCTAAAATATTTAAGTCTATATTTTTTTATTATTTTAAAATTAAAAAATTGAATAAATAAAGTATGATACATATAAATTATATTTCATCATAGTTCAAAATATTATAACAATGGCCTGGTAGTTGCTGGCCCTTTACCGGTGATCCTGTTGAAGCACAAACAATAACATCTGGTATTCGGCTAGCGGTCAACCTCCGATACCGGCAGATCACGGTCGAAAGTGATGCCTCCAATTTGGTTGTTCAATTGCTCCAGCGTCGGATTGATCTATCAAGGTTGAATCACGACCAGAGATTTAAATAGTGATCCGCGACTGCAATAGCGCCCTCGATATAGCGGTACCGGTGCCCTCTGAAAACGCTATTATTTGACCGCAACACCTGTAGTCACCGCAATAGCGTCTGCTATGCCCGCGATATAGCAGTAGCAGTGCCTTCCAAAAACGCGACCATGATTTGAATATCTGATCACAATAGTTATGTTTTACTAAATACTTCTGTTTTTTTTTCATGAATGCCTAGATTTTATTTTCGATTATGTACTACAGGATGCTATTTCAGTTAATATTAAAGACGTCTTCTTTCAAAAATAAAATTATTGAATTAAAATTAAATGAAATTTTGAATAAATAAATTTTAATAAAATATTGAATTATAATTTATATTCATTCACATTCTTTGTAGTTAAACTATTTTAATTTATGGATAAATATTTTTGGATATCTATTATTTGAGTTCACACTAATTATGTATTTTCAAATTTTAATATTTGAATTTAACTTTGGATTAAAAAATTATAACAGATTTGAACATTGTTCATTCAAATAATAACATATTTGTATGAATTCTAGTATCCAATATATAATTTAAAATTTTATTTTGTATATTCAAATATTTAGCAGATAATAATATTTAATTAGAATTTAAATAACAATAACAATAAAATAATTCAAAAATAAAAACATATTTTAATCTTTAGATACAACTATGAAATTGAATAATTTAAAAATTATAGATTTTCAACCCGCTGTAATTTGTAAGTTGAAGCTAACATTAATGAAAAAGAACAGAGCTATGCTTGAAGACCCGTATTTCTATGGGTTTGGCCCATGAAGAAAGGTATACATCCATTTGGGAACAAATTTAGTTGCTCTCCATGCGCGTTTGGTCTAATTACTCGTTGTGGTGCTTTGAGATAAAGTTCCCTCTTTTTGAGGGTTTTCTTCATTTGGTCATTCTCCTAATATAACTTATCCGAAAAGAGAGGGTTTTAGAAAAAAAGGTGACGGCGGTTTCTCTGCAGTTTTTAAACACTCTTCTGCTAAATTTAATCTAAATTCCAGACTAAACTTCAATCTAAATAAAAAAAAGATGGGTCTCAAGCAAGAAGATATACTTCTCAATAACAGCACGAAGAAGTAATTTTTTCTTCCATATTTATGTTATTTTTTACCAAATGTGATTTTATTTTGTTTAATTTCTAACTTCAATTTTTTGTTTATTGGGAAAACCCGATAGCTTAAATGCTTCTGAGATAGCAGTGGACAAGCAAAAGCTTGCTGCTCCAATCAAAACAGCTGTCGACAAGTTTTAACTTCTCCCGGAGTTTTTAAAGGTGGTTTGATGTTAATTTGTTATTTTTTTCTATGTGAAGATGTATATGTTTTTGAACTGAATTTTGGGTTCTGGGTGAATAGGTTAGAGGGTTAGTGAAGCAGCACTTGGATTCATTTAATTATTTCGTTAATACTGTTGGGAAGCACGGTCTTTCCCGCTTTGTGAAGTTAAGATAGACACTTAGAGATTAAGGATATTAAAGAGAGCACAAGAGTATAATTCTCCAATTTGGAGATTCTTCCACTATACAAAAGAATAGAAAGATTACAAGGATGTGTTCACAAAATTTGACTCACACTTGGTGGCTCACTCAAGCTTGAGGATAAAGACTTCCCAAGCTATCTCTATTCTCTCTCAAAGAGGCTCTCTAACTCTCTAGTTTCTCTAGTTTCTCAAGCTTGAATTTCTTGGATTTTGGATGGTTAGGAATGAAGTCTCTCACCCCTATTTATACTACTCCACCTCCACAATGAATGTAACACCCCAACCCGTACCCGACCCAAATACGAGTCCGAGATGTCACATTAACTTTTAAAAACGATATTGTTACAAAATATTAAAACATTTTAACTCATTTTAAGAAAATGAGATCATATATTGTTGAATTGTGTTTGTTATAAAATTTTGAGTAAAAAACATATTTATGAACAGTAAAATACGGTATGAACAATACCGTATGAACAATGATGAACATTACCTGCTACAGTACCCGAATGTTAAAAATTTCCAGATTATCAAAGGGGAACCGATTCCCCTGCTACAGGGAATCGATACCCTGCTACAATATTGCTACAGTACTGCTACAGTACTTCCGTAAAATACGTATATAAAACTCGTAAAAATTTAACCATTCATTAATATACATTTACTATTACATTTATACGTTTAAAACATTACAAAAGTCGATCAGAGCATATATACTAAGCGACTTTATTTACATGCCAACACCTATATCATATAAACATACATACTGTGTAAGGTTCTTCTGATTTGATCTTTGAGCAGAGATATGTTGTTACTTTGAACTTAGCTTTGATCCTCATGCTTCTCAGTACCTACGTGTAAATCACTTACACGCTAAGTCATAGACTTAGTGAGGCATAAACATAATAATAATGCATTTACTATACATATGAACATATAATCAAATCATTCAATCATGTCACAAGTATTTTAGTGTAAACAATAATAATACACTTACCTTTAATAACCATTTATAAGCCCATGTACATTATTGAGAACTCGAGGTATGTGAGTACATTGAGGTTGTGCACTATTATGCTGTCACCACAGCTCGTATAAATGTCCTGAAGGACCTATCCAGAGGTCACAAGGAACCTCAGTAACTATCCAGAGGTCATAAAGAACCTCGACAACTGTCCATAGGTCCCGAAGAACCTAGGTAAACTGTCCATATGTTCCTTAGAACATATGTATATTGTCCATATGTCCCGAAAGACATAGGTAATTATGTCCATATGTTCCGTAAAACATAGGTAAACCCTTGACTCTTGGCATGCCAACTATACCTATAGCTCTCATGTTACATAACATGGGCATTATCATTTATATCATTTCACACATTCACATGCACATTTCACTTTTCATATGATTTCATAATCATATGTCACTTTTCTTATAACACTTCTCTTGTGTTCATATGACATGTAAATCATTGGTATCTCTTGTTCTCATATGATTCCTATACATCACATATATCACATTCATAACACATATTCATATAGGCTCACGGTTTTTATCACCTATCATGACATTTCACATAAATCATGTAACTCATATACTTTTCATATAACCATTACATACATACACACATACATGTCATCATTTATGTTTTTATCATACTCCTATAGTATTATCCTTTATTTCTCTTAGCTCTTGTTCATATGATCTCTTAGATTCATACAAAAACACATCAATACATATAGTCACGTAAATCACTTTTGTATAACTTATATCAACTTTTTCATGTCATTTCACACTTCGTGTTACATTGCTTATATTTTACTCTTATGTCTTCTCACATACATATATTCTCATATACATATCAATAACACATATACTCATGAACACATATAAATCATAACAAACACATACTTCTATGAATTCATGCATTTTACTATTAGAAATAGACTTATCACAAGTCTTATTTTCCATTGAACATCATATACTAAATAATGTGCACTCATCTTAGCCTTGTTTTGATTCAATCCTAATCCTTTGATTATTCCGGAACTTGTTTAGGCTCAATATCTACATAAATATAATATTTCAAAACAACTATCAAAATCCTAAACTATAAACTTGATGTTAATAACTTAAATCGGTTTAATGAACCAAATTCCATTTTTTTCATTTAGGGGGGAATCGATACCCCCAGGGGGAATCTGTCCCCCCTGCACAATCTGTAATTTTCGTTCAAGCCCAGAAAATCATTGTTCATTGTACGAAAATTCTCTATTTCCACTTCAATTCTTCATATTTCATCCCCTTTTATATTCTTAACTCAAATATACATACTTAAACTAATTTATATCCATTTATTTCATCTTAAACCTCAAAATTCTATTCTCCATATAGAAATCAATAATCATACTAAATTTTCCATGTTATCTAAACTTAATTCTAACACTTCTAACTTCTTATTCTCATAGATGACAACTCAAATTCAACTTAAAATTCAACTTATCAACTATATTTCAAGATTTCATTCAAGAACTCAAAATCTTTAATCTCTCCTATACTTTTCATCTTATTGTTTTAGAACAAATTAAGCTTTCCTTAAGCTTAATTATCATCTAATGATCAAAACCCAACCTTAAATTTAACCAGAAATTAACTAAATAGAAGACTCACCTTTGAGCTTGGAGATACGGGAGGAGAGGAAGAAGGAAGAAGAAGTTCTGGAGAAATCTTTTCCTTATCCTTATCCCCCACATAAATATATATATCATTATCATATCATATTTTTAATTAATTTCTAAATCAAATGACCATTTTGCCCTTCACTTCATTTAATAATTACTAACAATAATTCATAAAATATATTCAAATAAATCATTAAACTATTCAACCATTTTATTTTAATCACCAAATTCTGAAGTTTTACAATTTAGTCACTAACCCGTAGTTTGGGATGTTACAATGAATGGTGGAGATTACTTATATCCAAGGGTAGAGAATAATTATCTGGAATGCTCCACACACTCTAGGAAGCTCTACACTCTTCCACTCCCTTCCATATTCTTCCATACTCTTCCATAAGGTTCAACACATCTCTAGAATATTTCAGAGGATTCTACACTCTTCCACAAGCTTCTAGAGAGTTATACACTTCTCTAGAGTTCTCCGGAATGTTTTAGAAAATTCTACACTTCTCCAGAAAGCTCTAGAATTTTCTAGAACCTCTCCAATTAAGGAGAGATCCAACAAATACTGGGATAAAGAAGATTGTTCGTGCCAATGACCAGATTGTAGCCGATCTTGACCCCAGTATTTACCTCAGGTTTGAAAGCATTTTTTGTTTATTTTTTGGGTTATGATTGTTATAAATTATATTTTGCCAACTAGCTGATGCAGGTTCGTTTGATTGTAGCTAGTTGTTATTATTATTATTATTATTATTATTATATTTGCTTTTAAAAGCAAGATATAATCTTTTGAACAGTTAAAAATAAATAAAAGAAAGGCTGTTTTGGAATGATCACATGCTATATTACTTTTATATGGAATATTAACTTCGGATGTGTTATGGCTTAACTATTTTCTGTATGTAATAAAATATGAGGAATCTTATTGTCAGTAGCATTTGAGCAAGCTAAGAGCATTTGAGCAAGCTAAGAGCAAGCGATGAAATAGTGATATTAACAACCTCAGGGAGCCTTATCTGTTTTTCTTCCATGCTATAGTTTGGTTGCCTTGTATTTGGTCCCTGAAATTCTGGTTATGACTTGTCTGCATACAGTGAACTAAGTTTCCTATTGGCATAATTTGGATTTAGACTTTTTTCCGGCTCTACTTCAATTGTAACTGGTGTTCTGGTGCAGGTTCAAAGATGTTAGAAGTGGTGATCCCTCCATGACGGTTGATGGGATCAGTGAAAAATCAATCCTCATACATGCCGATTGTCAGATATGACGTATGTACTAAATACATTCATACATTTCTATGTTCAACTATTTCATATAGGCATTTTTGGAATTATTGAATTTTTTCCTGGTGTTATAACAACTGAAACTTTAAATGGAATAGTGAGTAGTGCATATTGTTCTCTTTCATCTTGCTAATGTGGCGTTAATTTAAGGTATTCTGCACCGATATTGGTCAACATAGAGTACATTCATGGGAGTCATGGGCAGAAAACTGGACTAGAAAAGGTACATCAGATGCTTTTTTGATGTGTGTATGATGCAGAAAGATAGGTGCTTTGAATGTAATACAAAATATTCTTCCTTGCAGAATAATCTTGTTATCGGAAGAATGCCCATCATGTTAAGGAGATGCTGCTGCGTGTTGTATGGAAAAGATGAAGCTGAACTTGCAAGGCTTGGTTTGTGTTCACTAAACTCAAAACAATGGTTGTTCCTTTCTCACTTTCTTATTATATAATCTAAGATCCTTTCTCTCTCATTATACTGCTTAAACGTATATCCCCTTTCATTTCTTCCGAAAATCAGAAACACCAGGTACCCTTTGTTTTGTTATTATTGCTTTCTGTTTATCATTTACATTTATTGCGTTTTTATCAATCTTTTTTCAAAGAAAACGTAATAAAGCACCTTTAGTATGAACGTGGGATCTGATTTGTTTTGGAAAGATGATGTTTTGATCGTAAAGATATGGAAAGATCTATTTTCATTTTTGTTGGTGTCATAACCATTTTTATGAGAAACAATTGTTTATTGTTTTAAAAATAGTTATGACTATTTATTTTGAAAAATTGGAGGATTTGGAATTAATTTGAACTAAATTGGATAGAGTCGTCATCGACCTTTGGGTTAGGTAGGTCGAATACTTAAAAATGTCTTTTAAAAACAATTTTAAGAAAAATCATTTTTTAAGACAAAAGCTGGTATGCGTAACCAAAGATTCAATTAAATGGATTCGGAAGTCGGTTA